CTAACTGACGTGTTAGAACATCCTTTTAGCCACTTCCAGAAATCTCTGGAGCGATTACTTTTGTAAAGGTTTACACCTTTAAAGGTCCAGAGTTTCGCTCGTTCTCGCCGAACCTTAACTCTGGTTTCCTCTACTTTTTTCTAATAAAATAAAAAAAGGTTATTTTATCAGTTTTATATTGAAACAATATTTATGTTTTGGCCCTTCATTAGAGGTTACACCACTTATTTATATTTTAACCTGCATGCTTTTTTATCCCCTACCTTAAAAATTAAAATTAATAACAAAGTAATTATTTTTTAAAATTTCACAATAGCCTACAACAAGTCGAGTCTGAAAAAATTAGAAAACACGACAAACTAGCGAATGAACTCGATCTACTGGATAGATATAAGACTAAAATATTCCCTTATGTGATAAATTAGGCCAGTATAGAGACTAAAACAACTTTAAATACAGAAAGGAGCTTAAAACCACCGACTGAATTAAAGCGCATAACCAATCAATTACTCTTAATAAAACCCTTAAGAGCATTTCGATGGAATACCGGAGAGGGGAGACAATAGCGGAAACCGAAGAAGAAGACCAGCAAAGTACAGCCTGCCTAAGGCTTACGATAATATCTTAAGAAAAATAGGATATAGTTATAATGGATCGGGTTTGACAGGCGACCTGGTTTTGCGTCATATTTGACGGCCCATTCAATGAAAAAAAATTTAAACTTGAATTAATTTAATAAATGAAAGAATTACATGTTCTGTGCCTTTTCCTATACATAAATTTAGAAAAAAAGGTTATTTTCTGATTAAATGTCATGCCCTTCAATCTTTAAATTTTTAGTTTCAACTTATTATTATAGGATTCGAAATGTTAGGTGTGAGTGCCATTTTCAGGATTGACAAAATTATATTTATGGCGCACAGTTATAAATTAATAGCTATCAGATAGCGATAATGTTTTGTACGCGGGCCATTTATCGGCGAAAATTATGCTGCCAGGTAGAACCACTTCACTTATTTTAAAAAAGTTATTGAATTATGATTCTCTATTATCCCGCAATAACCTAAAGCTGGTGTAGTTGATATATCGAAAATGCAGAGTATCCAATATGGCGGGGGAATATCTGCCTCTGTGGGCTTTACATTATGGTTTATTTTCGTTTAACCAACCTGAACTATAACTCCTTGTCTGCCCAAGCCAATTCAATCGTCAATGAAATATTTTTTAGAGCCCTTAGTAACCCATGCCTTGATTTTATTTTAAGATGATTTTTATTTCTGACACTTCCAATATTCTGGCCAGTAGTATCTCCATTGACATATACATATAATAAACTACTTTAAGTATTATTTTTACTAAAAGAAAAAAAATTTCTAATTTAGAGCCTGTGCGTACTGGTGTATAAAACAAATAAAGATTGCAATTATAAAAAAGGCTTCTCCAAGTAAATTTGCCTACTTGTTTTTCACTACGTTTAATAAACATACTCCTTCTGTAAGAACTACACAACATTATTTCATTGCATTAATCTATATCTTAAGGGAAAAGCTTATACACCAAATCATCTAATGATATAATTTCTTAAAGTACAGTTTACCATTTATTTTAAGGGTAAAAAAAAATTTAAAAATAAAAAACAGGTTTGCTAACCGACCCACCAGGCCGTCTACCAAACCTGGTCCGTTATATTAACCCTTAAATAGATTTTTTTCGGCAATTTCTTTTAAATAAAAGGGGACAAAATTTTAAAAATTTTTATGCTTTTATATGATAAATCTTTTCGAACTTGCAAAAAAGACCGAAACAAAGGAAGCTCCTTTAAATCGGCTGTTGAGACTGGGTTAATCAACATGTCTTTTAAAGTATGTGGTTTTGGAGGCATAATGTGCATGAAAAAAGACGGGTTACGCCGTGTTGTTGACGGCCGATTTCGCTGCAATCGGCGTTTATGCAGAAAAACGGAATCTTTGTATACAGATGCAATTTTTCATTATTCAAAAGCCAATGTATCCACCGTTCTAAAAATTATTACCTCTACCATTTAGGGGTAAAGGTGGCAAACATTGTCAATGATTACGAAACTGAAGAAAGTGTGTGTATTGAATGATTAATATATTTTATGCAAAAATTAGTAATACAATTTTATCTTTGTGGTTTCCAAAATTTGGAGATGAAAACGACATTATTGAAGTCGATATAAGTAAATTTGTTCTCGGCGCGACGTTCGTGGGCGAATACTGGCAGTCGAGCGCTATTGAACCATCGGCTGTATTATTCGTATAATATAACAAATCACAATTAAATTTGTAAGACGACAAACAAAAATATCTACGAACGTTTGTTTAAGATAATATCAATGTTGAAACAAAAATCATGACAGACAGTTGGAGTGGTTATGTAGACTTGTGTTTGCTTTGATATAACCACTCGGTAGTAAATCACCGTTTGCATTTTGTTGATCCAAATAATGTAGAAATTCATACACAAAACATAGAGCTTTTATAAAAAATGTATAAAGCAAAATATGTCAACACTAACGATTTTGAAACGTTGATTCGTTTTTCTAAAAGATTTGTTTTTGATAAAAATTTGAAATTAAAAAGTGCTGACTAAAAACTCGAAAAATATTGTTTAATAAATGATTTGTGGCTATTTTTACTATTTTAAATAAATTTTTTATTTTTGTTCCCCCCAATCAGACGTTGCAACCTATTTTTTTTAAATTTCAAATTGCATACGTTTATGATCTCGTAATAACATAAAACGCATTAAATACAGAAGAATTAATGATTTTGCTCTACTGATAACAGGCAACTGGTGTTTTATAAAAAATAGATTCTGTTATGTAAAGCCACAACATGTTTCCTTGTATAAATTGGTGCCGTTAGAAACTATGTTACAAATGTGAAACTGATTATACATGAATTTTAAAAGCAATTGGTTCGTGTCTATTTGTTTTAGATTAATCTAAAACAAAAGCTATAAATAGATAAAAAATTATCGGTTCATGCAAGTTATACTCCCCCTAGGGGCGCATAACGTGCATATTTTAAAATTTTCAATTTTTTACCCTTAATGGCTTGACTAGTTGAGCTTTAGAAAGAGAAAAACGTTTATAGATCAGATATATGCGCGCCGAAAATGTTAACCGAATATTACGATAACACAACATCTTGGCTTTGCAAATGATATGTTATTTTTGTAGTGATAACATGAGAGAGAAAAGTGAAAGCGATTTTATTGGTGGTAAAGCGTTGCAGTGCGTTAATTACAACTCTTCTAAATTCAAAACGACATCCAGCGTTAGGCACAGTTCGTTTTTTTCTAAATATCGGTCGAATTTAGCAGATATATGGACGGTTATAATACTTTGGCTTGAGGATGAAAGCGTTACTAAAATTGAAAGGCATTTTAGGATTCGAAGGAGCGTGGTTATTAAATATATCATGATTTAAGATTAATCGTCGGCGAAAATTTACTGCAAGATACTCCAAAATTGGCTGGTCAAAATATATGTGCCATGTTGATGGATTATTGTTTAATCATAAGTAAAAATGTCATCGTGGAAGAATACCTAATCGGCAATTGTAAGTTTTTGGCGTCGCTAACACAGGCAATAAGCTGGCAAGGGGGTATATACAAGTGATTAAAATAGAACATCCAACGTATTATTGCCTATAATTTTGCGAATCTGTAGGCCCGGAACTATTATACATAATGATGAGTGGGCTGCACACAGAAATATTAGCGCTACTTCATCTTTTCTCCTCTACCGAATGACTACGTACAGAATTTTTTAAAGTGAACGTAGTTATTCGGAGGGGGGGGTGAAAAGATGAAGTAAAGGTAAAGGACTAAATCAGGCAGACCGATATTTTTTGATATTTTCAAAATTTGAAATTTTTTAACCCCTTAACTGACAAAACTCAAAGAGGAAGAAGAGTACCAAAAATTGGCAAGTGAAGTCAATAACCATTATAAAGTCGAAAATGTTATAAATGCGGTTCAAATACACGTAAACCGAAGGAAAAGAACAGGATTGTCTGTTCCTTTTCTGCATGTAAGTGCAGGTTCACTTGCTATAAAGGAACAATTTTTGAAAACTCGCCACTTCCTATTATTATTTTAATAAAAGTAATAGATATGTGGATTGAGAATGTTTCTTGTGATTTTATTGCCAGCATTGCAGGAATTCATAGATCTTCGGTCTTTGAAATCTGCGATAAGCTACGATCACTGGGTGTATTAGATTTATATTTAAATAAGTTTGATAAAATTGGTAAAAATAATGCGATAGTTGAAATTGACTAAAGTAAATTCGGCAGGAGAAAATACAACAGAGGTCACAGAGTAGAAGGCGTTTGGTTTGTAGGCGCCGTTGACAGAATTAACAAAAGAATCGTGCCAAGACACGTAGAAAAAAGAGACAGCTTTACTTTAACGACGTTTTGTAAAAAATAGATTAAAAAAGAAACGACTATTTATAGTGATTGCTGAAAAGACTATTCAAATCTTTCCAAGAAATTTTTAAACATCAAACTGTAAACTACTCAAAAAAATTTGTTGACAAGCAAACTAACACGCATACCAATACCATAAAGGTAACTGGGGTGGAATAAAAAGAACAATTTCAATAAGAAGCAAAGCATGGAAATTAATTGACATATACTTATTATGATTTATGTTAAAAAGAAACGAAGGAAGCAACAGTCTAAAGGTCTTATTAAAATTATTTTATTAATATTTTTTTATAAATGATTTGTTGATTTGTAAATTTAATAATTTTTTAATTATTTACTTATTATTTATTTGTTAATTGTGCATAGATTTTTAAAACTGAAAAAATTGGGGTTAAAAAATTTCAAACTTTGGAAATATAAAAAAATACCGAACAGGCCAACTTTAACCAAAGGTAAGAAAAGAATTATTTTTAAACCTTAATTATTGAAAATCTAAAGAGAAAATTTTTAATTTAACGATGATATACTACTAGAAATTCTAAGACTCTAGATTTTTTTTTGAAATCCAATTTAATAAAAAATAAAATAATTTGTTTGAGGTGTGGTGGAAGAATGAAGATTATGGTGGCTGCCACGTATATAGGCGGGTATGCTTACAGATGCTCTTCAAGACGCGCAGATCAAGGGTAAGCCTAAAGAAGGGGGCCTGAAATGGCCTCCCTGAATATAGAATTTGTAAAAATTCTTAGGAAATGTATTACTGGGTATATGATTATACCCTAGCACGGGCCATTGAATTTTGCGATTGTTCGGAGACTACCTTTATTAAAATCAAAGATTTGATTTTGCAAGTAATTTCTGAACAAGAGCCAGAAATGGTTAAATAGGTGGAGAAGGTAAAAGGGTGCAGTTTGACAAAGCTGCTATCTGTAATGGGGAGTTAATATTTAACCCATCTAGAACTCAGGACAAAAAACCCAACGTACAATGGTTGATGTGTGATATAGAAGAGAGAAATTGTAGGAATTTCGTTCTAAATCTTGTTCCAAACCGAAAAGTTCCGACAATATTAGACATGTTTGAAGAACGTGTTTTGCCCAGATCTATCATTGTTACTGATAATTATCCATCTTACCTTAGGGCTGTTGCTGAATTTGGATCTTGCCATGGGGTGGTAAACCACTCGGTTGGGGTTTGTTTTTGCTCAAAAGAAGCACATACGAACCAAATTTAAAACTCGTGGCCACATCTTAAGCATGCTTATCGAAAACGTGGCGGTATTATTAAAGGGAGAATTTATTTTGTTTTTAAATAAATGGAAGTAGAGAAAAAAATATCCAAAATAGCGATAATAAGATGCTAAAGATGGCCTTTTTTAAATTAATAAAAATATTTAGGAACCAATTTTTTAACTAATAATCTTTTAAATAAATATTTTAATTTTCTGTAATAATGAAGAGGGGAAGAAAGATGAAGTAGCGCTGAATGTCGGATTGTCCGCCATATGCACCCCGGCGAAAAAAACGCTGCAAAAAAAAAGTAAATATAATCAAATAATTTGTTTACGTACAGAAATAGTCGACAAAGTCGTTTCAAAGGCAGCTTCTTTAAATTCATCTACAAATTAAAAATTATCTAAAAATTTATTTCTGTTTTCATGTATACTCCCCTTTCGTCTTTAATTTCTAATTTTATTGTTTAAACTTTCTATATTTTGCGTATGAACGCCTTTTACTAGGTCGACAAAGTTATATTTATGGGCAATTTTTTTATAAGAATATTCAGGTGTTTGAGCAAGTTGTTTGTAAGTTTTTAATTCATCGGTGATGACGGTTGTTCCATTGCGTAATATTTCTTTAATTATCGGAATAAGCGTGCTTGCACTGCGATTAGGAACGACCTTTGCGAAGTCTTTTGACGGGGGTTCGCTGGTGTCGGGCATTGTAATGGCTTAGTCTGAATGGCGTGGCGCCCTTCCCCGGTGTGCTTGTACGTTATGAGACGTCTTGCTCCTGTCTACTTGAACTTCTACATTTAACCCGCCCAGCTTAATGGGATTATCAGTATAATGTTTCTTAATTTTTGATTTCATGGCCTTGTTTATGCGACCAATGATGTTTATAGAAATACCCAAATCTTGTACTATAACTTCGGGGGATTTTTTTAAAAGATAATATATAACTTAATGTACTTTCTGTACGGGAGTTTTAAATGCACCAATAAAAATCCCAAAAGTATGGTTTTTGTAGTTTGATAATAACAAAATGAATTGAGACAACGCCTATTAAACTTAAAGTTTGAAAAAATTGTTTTTAAGATCATTAGGAAATTGCAAAATTAACAATTCAATGTTGTTCGTATGAGTCTTTTTTGCTACAAAAATTATTGACAAATTTCATCGTTATTTGCATGAAAAAAAAATTATAAACGACTCTCTTTGCATTAGGGTATATAAATTACTTATTTTTGAGCACAAAATACGCAGATATTGAGATTGATGAAGTAGTGTATGGACAAAAACAAAAAAAATTAAAAGCTAAAACACCCAATAGTTGCATGATTTTTGGCTACCTTCGAAATTAAATTATTTCACCCTTATTTTTAAAATGTTGCATGAAGAAAAAAAAATTGAAAGCAAGAATTTAATTTCGATAAATTTTAATTAAATTCTTGTATGAAATTTTTTGTAATTCTTAAAGAAATTAAAAAACATTTTTCTCTTTAATTTAAACTTGTTTATTTATAATTTTACATTTTAGAAAAAAAATATAAAATTTAAATATTTATGACACAAAGAACATAATAATAAATCTTTTTAAGATTTGCTATTGTTTCTACATAACATAAATCACAACAAATAAACATTTACTAGCTTTTTAGTTTTATTTCGTAGGTTTATTTTTTTAAATGGGCATTCCACGTGCCTTCGGTTGTATTCGTATGCAGGTTGTCTTTTTTGTTGTTACGAATTCTTTTGAGTTATTAACTGTATTAGAGCTAGAAATTACGACCCAAGCTCTATAGGCCCATCAACAGTCTGAATATATTATGCTATATGGGTGTATTTGCTTACAAAATATTTTCTCTAAAACTTCAGGATCAGGACCCCTTCACACCCCAAAAATACATCAAGTTCCTTTCGCTCCCCGAGTAAAAAAATGAATAAATTTTAAATAATTTAATAAAAGATTCTAATTTTTTTAAATGTCTTTCTTTATACATAAACTCCAATAAAATTTTTTTCTTTGAACTGTTGTAAATCCTCGCATTTCGTTTATTTTTAATTTATATTTATTGTTATAGGACCCTACGTTTTGTGTGTGTACACCAGTTTCAGGATTAACAAAATTGTATTTGTAATACAACGTTTTATGCTCATATATTTGAGATCTACTCAATTCTTGATATGGTGCCCATTCATCAGAAATGTATAACACTACCTCCAACAACTGATTTAATCAAAGATAATAACGTACTTGCTGTACGATTAGGAATAACACCACAAAACCCCAACGCGGGAGTAAAAGATGTATTAACTATAACAAAAGCTCAACAGGCATCAACAGACATTCCCCGACGATTTTTTACATTAAAGTTAAATTTAGTTTCATCTATGTGCACTATTACCCCCCCCCCCCCCCCCGGACCACCCAATTTTACAGGGTTGACTTCAAAATAGTTGAATTTTTTTCGAATAAAGTCTTTCTCAATTTAATTTATACTTTTTTTTAATATCAACAACCAC